CCATACCCCTTGCCATGGTCGCTGTGCCCATATCCCTTGCCATGGTCGCTGTGCCCATATCCCTTGCCATGGTCGCTGTGCCCATAACCCTTGCCATGATCACTGTGGCCATACCCCTTGCCATGGTCGCTGTGGCCATACCCCTTGCCATGGTCGCTGTGCCCATACCCCTTGCCATGGTCGCTGTGGCCATACCCCTTGCCATGGTCGCTGTGCCCATACCCCTTGCCATGGTCGCTGTGGCCATACCCCTTGCCATGGTCGCTGTGCCCATACCCCTTGCCATGATCACTGTGGCCATACCCCTTGCCATGATCACTGTGGCCATACCCCTTGCCATGGTCACTATGCCCATACCCCTTACCATGATCACTGTGGCCATACCCCTTGCCATGGGCGCTGTGGCCATACCCCTTGCCATGGTCGCTGTGCCCATACCCCTTGCCATGGCCGCTGTACCCATACCCCTTGCCATAGTCGCTGTGCCCATACCCCTTACCATGGTCGCTGTGTCCATACCCCTTGTCATGGTCACTGTGCCCATACCCCTTACCATGATCACTGTGCCCATATCCCTTGCCATGATCACTGTGCCCATATCCCTTGCCATGGTCGCTGTGCCCATACCCCTTGCCATGGTCGCTGTGCCCATACCCCTTACCATGATTACTGTGCCCATACCCCTTACCATGATCACTGTGCCCATATCCCTTGCCGTGGTCGCTGTGCCCATACCCCTTGCCATGGTCGCTGTGCCCATACCCCTTACCATGATTACTGTGCCCATACCCCTTACCATGATCACTGTGCCCATATCCCTTGCCATGATCACTGTGCCCATACCCCTTACCATACCCACTATAACCATACCCACTCTCCTGGTGGCTTCCCTTGTGCTTTCCATGATCTCTCAGCTTATAGCGGTCGTCGTGCTCGCCGTCTCGGTCGTGGTAGTTGTAGGAGTCGAAGTCATCGTAGAACTCCTTGTTTTCGTAGTGCTCGTCCTCGTGGTGGTCATTCACGTGGCCCTGGAGGGAGAGACGGAGAGAGAGAGAGAAAGAAAGAGAGAGAGAGAAAAAAAAAATGAGTTAGTGGGGAACAGATTCTGTTGTTTGTTTAGTTGTTTGTTGGTTGGTTTGGCTTATTGACGTGTACACACATACATATATATGGGTGTGTATGTGTGTGTGTGTGTGTGTGTGTGTGTGTATGTGTGTATGTGTGTGTGTGTGTGTGTGTGTGTGTGTGTGTGTGTGTGTGTGTGTGTGTGTGTGTGTGTGTGTGTGTGTATGTGTGTATGTGTGTATGTGTGTGTGTGTGTGTGTGTGTGTGTGTAGGCAGGCAGGCTGGTAAGCAGATGCACCTACATATGTATTTCATCACCGAGTTTACATCCTCCGCGTACGAACTAACTGAGCACAGATACGCAGTTGGTAATACATTTATTTATACGATTAAGGAACGCAGAATAAAGGAGGGAGGAGGCAGGGAGAGAGGGAGAAAGGGAGAGAGGGAGAAGGGGAGAGAGGGAGAGGGAGAGAAGGGGAGAGAGAGAGAGAGGGAGAGGGGGAGAGAGGGAGAGGGGGAGAGAGGGAGAAGGGGAGAGGGAGAGAGAGGGAGAAGGGGAGAGAGGGAGAGGGGGAGAGAGGGAGAGAGGGAGAGAGGGAGAGAGGGAGAGAGGTAGAGAGAGAGAAATAGAAAGAAGACAGAGAAAGAGAAAGAGAAAGACAGAGACAGAGGCAGAGACAGAGATAGAGGCAGAGACAGAGGCAGAGAGACAGAGAGATAGAGAGAGAGAAAAAAAAGAGAGAGTGCAGGAAAAAAAGACGTTACGCCTCTATTTTTGTCTCTCGCCTATTGACTTCTTCGCCGACGGATATATCTCGACCAAGCACGCTGCTCTCACTTTCTCCCGCTTCAACTCCCCTTACAATCTTTTCCCTCCTTTTCTTCTCCTTCTCTTCTCTTCCTCCTGCCTTTCATGTTTCTTCCCTCCCCCCTTGTCTCCTATTTTCACTTCCCTCTCCCCCCCCTTGTCTCCTATTTTCACTTCCCTCTCCCCCCCCTTGTCTCCTATTTTCACTTCCCTCCCCCCCCCCCCTTGTCTCCTATTTTCACTTCCCTCTCCCCCCCCCTTGTCTCCTATTTTCACTTCCCTCCCCCCCCCTTGTCTCCTATTTTCACTTCCCTCTTCCCCGCCTTCTATTTATCCCTTCCCTTTCCTCCTCTCATTATTTCCCCTCCTCCCCCTCGCCACCCACTCCCCTTCCCGTTCCCCTTTCCCTTGTTTGCCTTCACTGCAACCCTCACCCCCCCCCTCCCCTACCCCTTTCCCTTGCTTGCGTTGCCTGGCATCACCCCTTTCCCCTCCCCCATCCCCCACACTCTTCCCCCTCCACTCCCTTATCCTTTACACCCCCCCTCCCCCCCTCTAAAGCATGCATGTCTAAGGAGCAGGTAACGGAATCTACCTCGTCCTCAGAATATAGCCCGAGTGTAATCTGAACCTTGAGCAATTCCGGTTCGTGGGAGGAATATGGACTGAATACGATTTGAGGAATACGCTGGAGTGTATGGGAGAAAAAAAAGGAGAAAAAAAATAAATGTGACTTCCAGGACGAGAGGAGATTTAAAAGACAAGACAGGACCCGTTAACTTTATACGAAAACCTGCCTCTCCTGCCCCAAGATGTCACTCGGGATAAGCCTCATCTGACGTAAATAGTGCACGAGTCTGACCTGATTCGCCGCGACAAGCACATCCCACGCCTGTGTTAATGACTGCAGAAGTTTCTCATTTCGGCGGAATTAAGATAATTGTGGAGACTATAATCAAAACAATTAGCTTCTAATTCGGGTAAAAGGCCTATATACCCCATAATGGGTAAGTAGAGCCATGATGAAAAGACAAAGTAGATCATATTTGATTTCTTGGGTAAAATAATGCTTTCCAACAAAATGTTGAATACCATTTACTCTTTCATCTGTACGCGTAGTGACGTCACAGCTACTCATATATATTTATATAACTATATATATATATAAATATATATATATATATATATATATATATATATATATTATATATATATATTTATATATATATATATATATATATATATATATATATATATATATATATATATATATATGTATGTATGTATATACATATATGTTTATTTATTTTTTACCGCGAAAAAAAAAACTCCAGCCTTAAGTCTTAAAATCTAATGCCAGATCGAAGAGTAACCCCAAACCGGTTCTCGAACAGGGCTTTAGAAGCATGATGATAGTCTCTCCCCCCTCCCCCTTTCTGCTTCCTCTCTTTCTCTTCCTCAATTCCCCCTCCCTCTTCCCCCGTCCCCATTTCCCCTCCCCCTTGGCTTTATCATCCTTCTTCTCTCTCTCCTCCTCTCTCTCCCTTCTCCCCTCCCTCTCTCTCTTCCTTCTCTCTCTCCCTGTGCACCGTCTCACCCTTTGTCTAATTGGGGCTCCCCTCCCCCCCTTCCCAGCGTCTCTCGTCACGGCGGCGATCGAATTACTTTTTGTTTGGTACAATTACGGGGGAAATGAGGAACGTTGGAAATACAATAGGAAAGGAAGTAGCGAAAATGTGAGTGTGTATATACATACACACACTTATACATACATACATATATATATTGAATATATATATATATATATATATATATATATATATATATATATATATATATATATATATATATTATATACATATATATATATATATATATATATATATATATATATATATATATATATATATATATATATATATATATATATATATATATATATATACATATATATATACATACATGCATATATATATATACACATACATACATACATACATACTAACATACATACATACACACACGGGCGCACACACACACACACACACACACACACACACACACACACACACACACACACACACACACACACACACACACACACACACACACACACACACACACACACACGCACATACACACACACACACACATACACACACACACACATACATATATATATTTATATATATATATATATATATATATATATATACATATATATATATATATATATATATATATATATATATATACATACATATATATATATATATATATATATATATATATATATATATATATATATATATATATATATATATATGTGTGTGTGTGTGTGTGTGTGTGTGTGTGTGTGTAATAATGATAATGTTGATTGTGATATTAGTTACTTAAATAAGAATAACACTTATCACGATGGTGATGATAATGTAAATGAGGAAACAGCAACAGTTGCACCTGCACGAGCAACAAAAACAGTAGCACTATGTATAATGACGGCAGGAAGATAAGAAGAAAATGAAAAAAAAATAAAAATAAAAGGAAAATATATTAAGGAGCCAAAGAAGAAGAAGCAGATGAAAAAAGAACAAGAAGAAGAATATAAAAAAGAAGATGAAGACGAAGATAAAGACGAAGAAGAAAAAGAAGATGAAGAAGACGAGGACGAAGGCGAAGACAAAGACAAAGAAAGATAAATAAAGACAAAGATAAAGAAAGGCAAAGAAAAAGACAAAAAAACAAAGTTAAAAACAAAGACAAAGAAAGAAAAAGACAAAAACAAAGACAAAGAAACAAAAAACAGACTAAGAAAGACAAAGAAAGACAAAAACAAAGACAAAAAAGACAGTCAAAGACAAAGACAAAGACAAAGAAAGACAAGGACAAAGACAAAAACAAAGACAAAGAAAAACAAAGACAAAGAAAGACAAAGAAAGCCAAAGCCAAAGAAAGCCAAAGACAAAGAAAGGCAAAGTCAAAGACAAAGACAAAAACAAAAAAGACAAATACAAAGAAAGACAAAGACAAAGAAAGACAATGACAAAGACAAAGAAAGACAAAGAAAGACAAAGACAAAGAAAAACAAAGACAAAGAAAGGCAAAGTCAAAGACAAAGACAAAGAAAGACAAAAACAAAGACAAAGAAAGAAAAAGACAAAAACAAAGACAAAGAAAGACAAAGACAAAGAAAGACAAAGACAAAGAAAGACAAAGAAAGACAAAGACAAAGAAAGACAAAGAAAGACAAAGAAAGACAAAGACAAAGAAAGACAAAGAAAGACAAAGAAAGACAAAGAAAGACAAAGAAAGACAAAGAAAGACAAAGAAAGACAAAGAAAGACAAAGAAAGACAAAGAAAGACAAAGAAAGACAAAGAAAGACAAAGAAAGACAAAGAAAGACAAAGAAAGACAAAGACAAAGAAAGACAAAGAAAGACAAAGAAAGACAAAGAAAGACAAAGACAAAGAAAGACAAAGAAAGACAAAGAAAGACAAAGAAAGACAAAGAAAGACAAGGACAAAGACAAAAACAAAAAAGACAAATACAAAGAAAGACAAAGACAAAGAAAGGCAAAGTCAAAGACAAAGACAAAGACAAAGAAAGACAAAGACAAAGAAAGACAAAAACAAAGACAAAGAAACGCAAAGTCAAAGACAAAGACAAAAACAAAAAAGACAAATACAAAGAAAGACAAAAACAAAAAAGACAAATACAAAGAAAGACAAAGAAAGACAAAGAAAGACAAAGACAAAGACAAAGACAAAAACAAAGACAAAGAAAGACAAGGACAAAGACAAAAACAAAAAAGACAAATACAAAGAAAGACAAAAACAAAGACAAAGAAAGGCAAAGTCAAAGACAAAGACAAAGAAAGACAAAGAAAGACAAAGACAAAGACAAAGACAAAGACAAAAAAAAAAGTTAAGTTTAATACCGTCATAAAATAATTAGACTCAATATGATGAAAAAAAGAACCAGCTTCATACGCTAATTACTGATTATTATTATTATTATTATTATTATTCATTATCATTATTATTATTATTATTATTATTATCATTATTATTATTATTATTATTATTATTATTATTATTATTATTATTATTATTATCATTATTATTATTTTTCTTTTTCTTTTTCTTTTTTTTTTCCTTTTTTTTTACCTTATATTTCTTGTCGTGTCCTTTTCCATATGCATGCTTAGGGCCGCCGGCGTGGTGGTAGTAACCTGTGGGAATAGATAGACCGATAATAGATACAAAAAAAAGGAGAATGGTAGAATGGTTGGTAGAGATTGAAAGATATATGAATAGATTAATGGATGGGAAGATCGATAGATAACGTTACGTGCTGATAGATAAAGAGACAAAACGTTAGATTAGATAGATTATTATTAGATAGATTGATTGGTGTGGATATGAAGATATTCAGGCTGGCAGACAGACGTATAGATAGGTAGATAGGTAGGTAGACAGATAGATCTGTCTATCTGATAGACTGTCAGGTAGATAATCAGATAGTTAGATAGATAGACTTACGGACAGACTGACAGACAGACAAACAAGGTAGGTAGATATACAGATAACTAAATAGGTAGATAGATAGATAGATAGACAGGTAGAAAGATAGATAAACAAGGACATAGACAGGTAATCAGAGAGACAGATAGACTATCAGATAGATAATAAATAATAAATAAACTAGAGAGATAGAGAGATATAGAGAATAATAATGAGGCGATAAATATACAAACTTTATATAACTTTGATAATTAAACCGCCTCATCTAATAACACGCTTGGAATATTTACAAAAAAAAAGAAAAAAAAAAAAGTTAAGTTTAATACCGTCATAAAATAATTAGACTCAAATATGATGAAAAAAAGAACCAGCTTCATACGCTAATTACGATTATTATTAGATATCAAATTAATTAAACCAACTTGATGCTGAAGTTTGAAGGTCGACTTCCGGTCTCTGTTCGAGGTCGAGCATAACCTCAGGAAGAGCGGCATCGAGGGTGACCTTGGGTTCGTCCTTGATCGAATTAGCAAAACTTATAGCCACAAGGATCGTAAGTGTTGGCATAAAGTGCATCTGTCGGGGAAGATTGGGGTTAAGAATATCTTTATAAGTTACATGTGAAAGTTGAAGACAGATGATAAATTAAAATGTATAAAAAAGTGTTATATATGAGGTTACATTCATGAATATTAATGATAGGAATGGTGATGATTATAATGATGATGATGATGATGATGATGATGATGATGATGATGATGATGATGATGATGATGATGATGATGATGATGATGATGATGGTGATGACGATGATGACACTGCTGCTGCTGATGACGTTATTAAAAATATAATAAAGATAATTATAAACGACAATAACAAAATAACAAAATGTGCATAGGAACAACCCGACAACACGGAACAGAGATAATGCAAATATAAACACCATCTGGCGGGATTTGTCTGAAACTTCTGTGAGTTCCCGACTTCGCCTGATTAATTTCCGAAATCCCCCCCCCCTCCCTACAATAGGAACGGAAGAAAAATGCCGTAATAAAGGACTTTCGGGGAGAAAATCATCATCTCGTATTTGGAGTTTTTCC